CCCAGCGTTGGTGAGGGCCGCGATTCGCGCTCCCCGCCGCGCCTTGAGCCGTCCGTTGACCACGTCACGATGCAGGTACGCCCGGCGGCGGCCCTCACGAGGAGCAGGCCCATCGGCGAGCATCTTCACGGTCTCCGCGTACCTCTCTCTCGGCAGGTTACGGTAGGGGTACGCCCGCCGCACAAGGTCGAAGAGTTCGTCTTCGCCGCAGTCCCTGGAGGCGCACTCGGCGACGATCTGTTGGGACAAAACGTCCAGCGGCCAGTCGGGTATAGGTCAGCGCGTCGAGCACTGCCGTGACGGAACGCCCGCACGAGCGCCATGCTCTCGATAAGCTCGTCCCTCGTCAGGGGGAATAGCCTGCCCTTCGGCGTGCCTCCCACGTGGTGACCCGACCTGCCGGTCCGCTGAAGCAGCACGCTGACCGAGCGCGGTGAGCCGATCTGACAGAACAAGATCGATGGCCCCGATATCGATGCCAAGTTCAAGTGACGCCGTTGCCACGCAGAGCTTGACTGCACCGTCCTTGAGTTTCCGCTCGGCCTCGTGACGGCGCTCGTGGGACATGCTCCCGTGGTGCGCCACGATCTGCTCCTCGCCGATCTTCCCCGAAAGCTGGTGGGCCAGCCTCTCCACGAGCCTGCGCGTGTTGACAACAGCAGCGTCGTGCGGTGTCCATTCGTCAATTCGACGATGCGGTCGAGCGTGCGGTCCCACAGGTCATGGACGCTATCGGCCCAAGCTCGTCTCCTTCGGCATCTCTATGCCGAGGTCGATCTCGCGGGCATGGCCCGTGTCCACGATCGAGCAGTCCGGGGCGCCGTTCGTGTCGATGTTGTCCGTTCCGACGAGGAATTTCCCAATCTCCTCTATGGGGTTCTGCGTTGCCGACAGGCCAATGCGCGTGATCGGCTCATCCGACAGATCCACGAGCGTCTCCATCGAAATGCTGAGATGCGACCCGCGCTTGTCGTCGGCAACGGCGTGCAACTCGTCGACGATGAGTGTGCTCACACTCTTGAGTCCCCTCCGTCCGCTCTCGGAGGTCAGCAGGATAAAGAACGATTCCGGCGTGGTGACGAGCACGTGCGGAGGCTTTCTTGCCATCCTCTGTCGCTCGCTCTGGGGAGTATCTCCCGTCCGGACGGCAACCCGAATGTCGGGAAGCGGCGTGCCGCGCGCCTCAGCAGGGCCTGCAGGTCGCGCAAAGGCGACATCAGGTTGCGGGATGAATGTCGTTCGAGAGCGCCTTGAGCGGCGAGACTAGCGGACCTGCGTATATCGCGGTATGGTCCTTCCGTCGAGGCCCTGGCCGGACCAGTCCGTCCAAACACGTCAGGAAGGCCGCAAGCGTCTGCCCGACCCCGTCGGAGCCGCTATGAGCGTATGCCGCCCCTCCGCGATGGCGGGCCAACCCTCCGCCTGCGCGCCGTCGGCGCGGCGAACTGGGTGGCAAACCAGTCGCGGACGAGCGGATGAAACGACGAAAGCGGGTCCCCAAGACCCATAACAGTCACGTGTCAATATGAATATGATGGATAGATGTGTTGAAGTTTAGTGCGAGCGTCCTGAGTGGAGAAACGCCAGTCTATGACGGCGACAGCCTCATTGCGCTCATGTTCCAGCGCCGAGACCTCTCGCTTCAGTACCACCTCGTCGCTGATTCGACGGTTGAGACACTGGTTGCTGAAGACGCTCAACTCTATCTCAAGCCATGGTCAAGCCAAACTGCAGCCACGCGAGGAGTGGCGCGGGCGACGGTGGCGGTCCCTAACCGACAGCGCACGGGGAGGGGGGAGTGGAACTCCAGGCGATTGGATCCGCCGCCGACTTCGGTGGCTCGAAGACCCGTCGTAAAAAGAAACACAGCTTGTGAGTGTGGAGATTGCAGCACCAGCGTACGTTTCGTTCGTTTTTGTATGAGGGTATGCTCGTCTGCAGCCACCTCATCTGATGTGCGACGTACACAGCCGCAGTGCGACGCTCGGTCAAATCATGCCTCCAGCCAGCTTTGGACTCACAGAACATTGAACAGGTTTCGGGTCCCGTTTCGCTTGTACTCGTAGTCATATCGTTCCACTCGACCGCATGGCCCCGAATGGACGGTCTCGAGTGTCCGGCCAACATTGTTGGACCGTCTCGTCGAAACAGACAACGGAGGATGGTCGGTCGTAGTCTTCGATGTACAGGTCAGCACGTCCTCCATTCGAGCCACGAACTCCGGCTCACTCCGGGATGCACCCTTCCTTCTTCGTCAACGGCTTGAGTTTCGTTTTTTTGAGCGTTCTGGCGCACCGTCTCGAGGGAGGCTCTCGCAAACCCCATCTGGACCACCTTGTCGGCACAGCAGTTGCAAGCGCCAGTGCGGTTGTCCTTCGGGCGCATCGCTGCAGGCGATTGGCGACTAGGTGTGCTTCCTGCCTACCGTCAACTTGCGCCTTGTCCCGGTTTCCGGTGCGTTCAATGAGCGCACTGTCGAGTCCTTCCTGTACATCTGCGTGCGCACCAGTCCACGTTGGAGGCGCTTATCAATAGTACGCTGGCGATGTCACGCGTCGGATTCAGACTTCGGTGCCTCTCAAGCAACACCAGCAGCTCGCTTGAATTACGGGCCGAAGTTCTACCCACGACTCGCTATCTCTGGAGATGTGTCCGTCCGACTGTTCAAACTCCACCTGTACTTGAGAGGAGGTGCAGATATTCGTATGTCCTCCTTATAGGATCATACACAAGACTAACCTATCTTATTATTTGTCAAAACACAGGAACCGGTACTGTAAAAATGTTTGCGCACAGTATAGCAGGTTAACGCAGGCGGGGCGTGTGACACAGAACCAGGAACACGGGACGCCTAAGGAGCAAAAATCTCCCGCACCGGCAGCTTCCGGCCGGGCACCACATCGGCTCCGTCGATGGCATCGTCTTCCGACAACGACGATGTTGGACGACGACCGGTAGACGGTCACGTCTTGACAGCGCGGGTCGACGACCAACACCATCCGAGTCCCCGCGTCTAGCCAGTCAGCGCCTTCTCCGCCACGTCGCTGTACGTGTCCCGCGGCGAAATAACCTCGACCGCAAGATCGGGAGCGCCGGGCCAGAAGCCGGGACGGTCCCCGGTGTCCGTGACTCGGTCGGCTGTGATGAACCGTCATCCGAGCGCGGACGTGTCCCGGCCAGAGAAACCTGGGTCGGCCACGTACACTTCGCCCAGTCGATTCGCTTCTGCGAAGTGACCGAGTCTTGACGACACTCTTCCGGCATTCCTCGCGTGTATGTGCCCGGACGGCGGCATTTCTCTCAACTCCCCTCGGACCAACTCGTATCGATGCCCGTCATCCGGCATTTCCAGGAGGTCTTCGGCTGTCAAGAGATGCGTCGTCGCCATGGGAGTCCTCTACGTGCCCGGTGAGCGCTCGTCATCGCACTGTGGCAATATCATACACCACTCGATCGGAGATTTTGAGGCGAAGCCTAAGCCCCGCAACCGTTCGATCACCCGCTGGCAGGCGGCGTAGTCGCGTCGCTCCGCCCCGGTAGACCGCGCAAGCAGATACAGCGACCTGTGCCCCGCGTCGAGATACCTGCTCGCCACTCACGGCGACATCCTCACCCGAACGGCCCTTGCGGAGGGCCGACGTAACCCAATCGGGCAGGTCGCCGAACGTTATGCCGTCTCCACCAATACCTGCACACCACAGCATACGAGCGCCGCAAGCTCATCGCCGTACCGCTCCGCATACGCTCCAGGAACTCCATCAGTCGCTCGGGGGAGAAGAGCGCTTGGAGAAGAAGAACTGCGCCCCGGCCTCCACCTTCTTTCGCGTCAACGCAATCTGGCGTCCCATGTCCCGCCCGAGGTCGATCGTCGCCCCTATACAAAAACTCGTAGGGTTATTCAGCTTGAGGCCCCTTGTAGTCGATGCCCCTGTTCATTTCCGCAATCGCGCCATGAGGCCGGTCGGCACATAGTCGTCCACCGGCTTGGTGATCGCCAGCTCCCGCTCAGTGAATGAGTCGCCCTTGAGCACCACGACGTTCTCCAGTCCCGTCATCGCCGCGCCCATGAGCAATCCCTGTGCCGCCACCCTGTTCATATCTCTCGTCGAGAGCGAGAACGTTACCTCTTTACCGGCATTGTGCTTGATCCACTGCCGCGGCGAAGGCGGAATTTACACGCGCCGACTTACCTGGGCTGTAATTGACGGAGATGAAATCGGCATCCAGACATCGCGCCTCTTCGAGAAGAGCGGGATCGTTCCCCCGTGGCGGCGAAAAATCGGCGACGATCTGCACCCCGGTGGGATCCTTGAGCCGAGTGTTCAATAACGGTGGTCATCGCAAAGTATTGAGAGGTCCGGGCATTTTTCGTGAAACCCCGCGAAACGTGACCTCTGCGTAACTGGCTTATCAACATGTCATTCCTCTGAAAATAAGCCCCGGAGCGGCTTCGTAGACCAAAACACACATTTTCATCTTCCATGGTGCCGGTGGCAACCGGCATGGCTAATTGCTATGAAAATAGGCTCCAGCAAACCCGTTGTAGGGGCAACCCTTGTGGTTGCCCGTTCCCGGCACCAACCCGTTTTCATCCCCTTATGTAGCCTTCGCAAGGCCATGGTGATTCCGAGCGCAGCGAGGAATCTAGGGCGTTATGCCATCGTAATTTGGGCGTTCCAGCTACAGCATCCTTCGTGGTTTACTAGGACTTTAGATTCCTCCCTCCGCTCCGCTACGTTCGGAATGACATGTATCTGGATTATGCAAGGGTCTCCATTCGCGGGAATGACGACCTGAATCACACTAACGAAAACAATCTCACTGATGCCAAAACAGGTTGGCCCGATTATATACAAAGTATACAAAAAGAGGATTGCCGGCCCCGACGGCATCCTCTTTCCATTACCGATCAGTCCCGATCGGTTCTGAGGAGGTTAGTATTCGGTTTTGCCGCGACCTCTAAGGGACTTCCCTCCGGCCGCCGGACTGTCTCGGCGGGGCTATCGCCAGCCCTCCACGCCGGTCTTGCCGGGAATAAGGGACACGCGATGCCCGTCCGTGCACTTGAAGCGCCGCTCCCTCGCCTCCGGTCGCTTGCCGGAAAGGGACGCCTCTTCCATCGCCTGAGAGCAGAACGGGCACTCGACGTCGAAGCCCGCTCTGTTGCGAATCCGCACCACCTTGACGTGGGCTAAGGTCTCGGACAGGGCCGGAAAGTCGCCGACGTAGCGGAATACGTACTGCGTAGCCGTGCTCAGCAAGTTCTTTGCGGTTACTCGACGGCCCTCTCGTGTAGCTGTAATCGACGTGGCCACACATGATGCACTCCATTTCGTCATAGCCCATGACCATTCGCGTGCCGCACCGCTTGCATATCGCATCGCGGTTCGACCTGGGCATACTGTTATGCGGTTGATATATTGCTGCGGACACCAAGGCGACACCTCCATACTTCATACTGACGTTCGTGAACATCCCGAACATCGACGGCTTGCCTGGGTGTTTGATACTCTTCATCCTCGCCTTGTCACGAACCGGTTCGACATGTATCGCGTTCGATTGCGCTACTCCCGCGAAGTGACAAGACTACGTTGAATGTGCGTGAGCACCTCCATAAGATGACGGTATGCAAACCCCCGTAAGCACACTATGCTCTCTCTGACCAATATTCCGCTCAAAGGCACTACGCCCAACAAATATGCAAGAAGTGGAGAGAATACGTCCGTGTGCCATGACTTCAGTAGTTCGAAACATCCGTGCTTAGACTTCCCCTTACGTCCTTACTAAACTTTGTTTAGATCACTATACAAGACGTGGACTATATCTTGTCAAGCCTCTTTTCCAAAGATTTACGGTTATTTTTTAGTTAATATCCTAATACTAATGTCGGACCATTGGCTCGATTTTACAACAATACACGAGGCGGAGCCCAGCGCGAGGACCTGATCACGAAACTCTCAGGAAACGATCACCGGATGGACCGAACAATTGATCGGCGTTCCAATGTCCGCTCTAAACGACCACCCGATGCCGGTCCTCACCCCGGACCGGGAGCCCAGGCGCGACCATCCCCTCGTCATCATCCGGCGGGAACGGGAGCGCCCTCGTGGCCTCCCAAGACCTCTGCGACGCCGTCCGCCCAATGATGCCAAACCTCCACGCCGACCTCGTATTCTCGCCGTTCGGCACCTATGAGCTCGCACGCGCCACGCTGCCACTGGGTATCACCATCTGGGGCCCCAGCTTCTATCTCTTCGGCGACCGCAACACCGTGAGACCGGCAAACGACGAGCGCGTCGTCAAGATAGGGGCGACCGAACTGGCAGAGGTGGACTTCTCGATCTTCTGGCACTGTCATCAAAACGCCCTTGCCGGGTTCGCAGTGTACGAGGGAGACGAACTGGCCGCTCGCTCGCTGAAACTGTCACCACAGTACCATGCGACCCCCGTTTGGGAGCTCGCATGGAGCCCACCGATGCTGAGGCAGACGCGGCCACGCGGTCGTAAACGCAGCCGCCAACTGGATACTTGATAACGACAGGATCGTTCTGGCCACCGTGGAACTTTTATAAGATAAACATACCCTCGCCATGGGACGCTTGCGATCGGTTGGCACTGCGTACGCCTACAATGACCACTCGACGGAACCGTGCGGCCGCTTCATGGTGCCGCCGCAGCCATTGGGAAGTCCTCGCCGGGGGGAGACCCTTTACAACTATTACCCCGAATGGGCAATGACTAGGGAGATACTTCCGAGGCCAAAGTAACGGGGTGCGCCGAGGTGTGATTTGCGGTTACGTCATATCCCCAATAGACGTGCTGCGTTCCCACCCAAAACCATGTCTTTGGCCGAAGGTGACAGCCCCGACGACTCCACCTGTCCAATCACCGTCCGGGCCCGGACGAGCGGATAGTCGCTGCCCATCAATGTGCACTCAGGCCCAATCACCGACGCGGCAGTCTCGAATACCTGCGCATCGTACAAGAGGTTGGTCGCGGCAGTGTCAAAGTAAGCGCGTTCCAGTCCTTCCGCGACCTCGGGCATGAGACCGTAGAAAGGCAACCCGCCTCCCCAGTGAGCGCACACGATAGGTACGTCCGGGAAGTTCCGGATGAACCGCCAGAGGACGTCCGGCCGGGTCTTACCCTTCCCCGGATACGTCATGGCCGACCGGCTCCGACGAGTGCGTCGTGACGATCAGGCCATGTTCTCTCACGATCTCCATGAGCGGGGCCATCGTCTCGAAATCGCCGAGGTCATACCCCTGCGTGTCGGGGTGCAGTTCGCCGATCCCCCGAAAACCGGACTCCGCGCACCGACGAGCCTCCTCCACTGCCTCCTTGCCCCATGCGGGGTTGACCCCCGCCAGACCGACGAGACGGTCGGGATGCTTCTCGAAGGCCTCTATCAGATAGTCGTTCGCCGCGCGGGCCAAGTCGATTGCCGATCACCCGATTCCTGACGACCGAACGTCCACGCCGTCCGTCGTCCACTCGGCTGACGTCCGCTCACTGGGTGCTGGGGATTAATAAGCGTCGTCGGGCGGTTAAAAACGTGATCGAGGAACTGGTTAGGGCACTAGGACCCTGGTTGAAAGCAGTTCCCCGTGCGCTCTCGCTGTGCCATCCGGCATCAGACTGGCGAACAGCTCACCGAACGATGCGTCCCGCTCCAGGTACTAGGTACTCCTCACGCGAACCCTCACGCCGGTTCGGAGCCAGGAGGAGTAGATCAGAGTGGAAAGTCGAATCACGCGGCACGGGATACTGCACAATGCGGTGCAGGCGGTTTCTGCCATCATTGTAGCGGTTTTCGGCAGGAGGAAAGCGTGACTCCACCTCCCGGTTGCCGAATAACTCGAACCACTCGGTTAGAGTCGCTCTTACCTTGTCGCACATCGCGATCCTCGTTCGTTGTAATATACTAGAAGAGACCGGTCACATGTCGCCGTTCTTGCGGAGTGAATGCCCCACCCATGCTGAAGACTATGGCAAACCTCATCACTCGGCGGAGGCGACAGGGTCCTCAAGCGCCTCCGTCCGGACGTTGACGCCGCCGCTTCGTGGGAGTCCGAATTCGAAGAGCTCTCCGACGACGCCTTGCGGCCAAGACCGATGAGTTCAAGGCCCTGCTTGCCGAGGGCGACGACCTTGACGACATCCGCTCCGAGGCCTTCGCCGCCGTCCGCGAGGCCTCCAAGCGCAACGCTCGGTTGCGCCACTTCGACGTCCAGATCATGGGCGGCGTCGTGCTCCACGAGGGCAAGATCGCCGAGATGAAGACGGGAGAGGGCAAGACTCTCGCAGCCACCCTGCCCTCCTACCTGAACGCCCTCACCGGCCGCGGCGTCCACGTCGTGACCGTCAACGACTACCTCGCCAAGCGCGACGCTCAGTGGATGGGTACCATCTACCACGCCCTCGGCCTGCGTGTCGGCTGTCTGCAGCACGACGCCGCCTTTCTGTACGACCCGGAAATGGCCGACGGAAAGCTGCCCTTCCTGCGGCCAGTCTCAAGAGCCGAAGCCTATCGCGCCGACATTACCTCCGGCACCAAACAAGGTTCGGCTTCGATGACTTTGGTCTGCGCGACAATATGTCCCTCACCGTCGACCAGCGCGTACAGCGTGAGCTCACCTTCGCCATCGTCGACGAAGTCGACAATATCCTCATCGACGAGGCCCGTACCCCACTCATCATCAGCGGCCCGGCGGAGAGAGAACGGTGCAGTGCAGCTGATCCAGACTTCGCTCGCCTCGTGCCACGCCTCGACCCGACGGAAGACTACACCATCGACGACCGCACCAAGGCCATTTCCCTCTCCCAGGAGGGAATCGGCAAAGATGGAGCAGTGGACCAACACCTCCAATCTGTACGACCCCGAGAACTTCCACCTCGTCCACTACATGGAGAATGCCCTTCCACCGCCCACGTGATGAAGCAGCGCGACAAGGAATATGTCGTGCGCGACGGCGAGGTGGTCATCGTCGACGAGTTCACCGGGCGGCTCCAGCCCGGCCGCCGCTGGTCCGACGGCCTGCACCAGGCCGTGGAAGCCAAGGAAGGCCTGCGCATTCAACGCGAGAGCATCACCTACGCCACCATTACCCTGCAGAACTACTTCCGCATGTACCGGAAGCTGTCTGGCATGACCGGTACCGCTGCTACCGAGGCCGACGAGTTCTACCGCATATACGGCCTCGAGGTGGTGGAAATCCCCACCAACAAGCCCATGCGGCGGGAAGACAATTCCGACCTCGTGTATCAGTCCGAAGAGGGCAAGTGGAAGGCGGTGACCGACCACATTGTTGCGAAATACGAGTCGCAACAGCCGTTGCTAATCGGCACCACCTCCATAGAGGACTCGGAGTACCTCAGCGACCGGCTCCGAAAGCGCGGCGTTTCCCATCAGGTGCTCAACGCCAAGAACCACGAGGGCGAGGCCAACGTCATCGCCCAGGCTGGCAGGCTCGGCGCCGTTACCGTCTCCACTAACATGGCTGGTCGCGGCACCGACATCGTGCTCGGCGGCATCGACACTTCACGCGACGACTGGCAGCAGGAACACGACCGCGTCGTGGATCTGGGCGGACTGCACGTTATCGGCACCGAGCACCACGACGCCCGCCGCGTCGACAACCAGCTCCGCGGACGTGCCGGCCGCCAGGGCGACCCAGGCAGTTCCCAGTTTTACGTCTCCCTGGAAGACGAGTTGATGCAGCGCTTCGGCGGCGAGCGCATCAAGACCGTCATGGGCTGGACTGGGCTGGAAGAAGACACCCCCGTCGAGAACAAGCTGGTCACCAAGTCCATCAGCGGTGCCCAGGTCAAGGTCGAGGGCTACCACTTCGACATCCGCAAGCACCTGCTGAATTTGACGACGTGCTGAATAAGCAGCGCGAGGTCATCTACGCTGACCGCCATCAGGCCCTCGGCGACGGCGACCTGCGCGAAAAGACACTCGGCATGCTCCGCCAGGAGTTCGGTCGGGTGATGTCCCAGTTCCTTCCAGGACGCCACGCCGACGACTGGAACGCCGAAGGACTGATCGACGACCTCGGCCAGATCTGCGACCTGCCGCCTGAACTGTCTCACGAGGACCAGGTCTACCGGTATAGCCGCGAGCAGGTGGAAGGCATCCTGTCCGACCACGCCGAATCTGCATGCGTCGCCAGGGAAGAGGAGGTCGGCGCCGACCGGATGCGGCTGACCGAGCGGTTGCTGCTGCCTTCGCCAGTCGAACTCCCACTGGGTGCAGCATCTAACCGCCATGGAGAACCTCAGGACGGGCATCGGCCTGCACGCCTACGGACAGCGCAACCCCCTGGATATGTACCGCGCCGAAGGCCAGAAAATGTTCTTCGAACTGCAGAACCGCATCCAGCGCGACGTGGTGCGCACTCTGTTCCACGTCACTGTAGATCCGGTCCAGGCCGACGCCGTCACCAGGAACGCCACCCGCGGCCGCCGCAACTCCGTCGGCGACAGCCCGATGAAGGCCGGAACGGCTCCAACCGCAACGCCACAGCCCGGCGGCACCGGCAAGGTCGGTCGCAACGCCTCCTGCCCCTGCGGCAGCGGCCGAAAGTACAAGCGCTGTTGCGGCAAAGCCGCTTAGCCAGCGGCCTCAGTGTTTCTGAGGAAACCTGCCTTCAGTCAATAGGGCAACCGAACCTGGCCGTCATTTCCGCAAAATCAGGAATCCTTGTCCTGAGGCGCCGAAGAGGTTCTGTGATGCCTTTGCAGTAGTTCACCGTGTTCCTGATGCCACAAGAAGACGGGAGCCAGGTCATCGCCCTTCACCATCCCAAATCTACGACCGAAGGAGACACGGTTGAGGAAGCGCTGGCAAGGCACCCAAAGGACGCATGGAGGGCCCTGCCTTAGTGGAGTCGTTGCACGGTGGCGACAAGGTCGAACCCTGGGTCCACGGGCCTCACGTAGTCGTCGCCGAAATGAACGTGAAGTAAGTGCCGAGCTGTCTTTTATTGGCGGGCAAACCCGCCGCCACGGCAACATCGGAGTGAAGAGGAAAGACCGCTACGGGCAGCACCTGCCCATCACTAGGGGCTGACTCATCAATCCGAAAGGCTCTTCCCTCCGAAGAGCCCCCGCAGCCACCCCAGGATTCCCCCACCGCCGGCAGGCCGCGCCTCTCCGTGCCCGTGGTCGCCGTGTTCCATCGGCACCACTCCCTCGCCTGACAGCACGTGCTCCGGTTCCCGGTCGAATGCAACCTTGCATCCCGGTCCGCAGAAGTAATAGTCAGTTCCCTCGTAGTTGCTTTGCCCCCCGGGCGGGCTCTCCGTGTCGACTTCCATCAGGCAGACGGGGTCTATCGCAGTGGCCATGGCGTCACCTCTATGCCCTAGTATAGGACTGGATGGCAGCCCCGCGCAACCGCAGTGAGTTGCTGACTACCGTAACCGAGCTGAAAGCCATCGCCAGCGCCGCCAGTACCGGGTTCAGGAATCCCTGCTGCCCGAAGAAGAACTCCAGCGAGACCGGCACCCCGCCCACGGCATGGAACACAGGGTACAGCACTCCCGCCGCCACCGGAATCAGCAGCAGGTTGTAGAAGAACGCACCGAACAGGTTCTGCTTGATCGTCCGTATCGTCTGCCGGCTCAGGTCCAACGCCGTCGCCACCGCCCCCACGTCGTCCCGCATCGTGTGATGTCCGCCGACTCGATGGCCACATCCGTCCCGCCGCCCATGGCGAGGCTCACGTCTGCCTGGGCCAGTGCCGGGCGTCGTTGATGCCGTCGCCAACCACCGGACCACTCTGCCCTCGGCCTGCAGGCGCCGCACGACGGCGGCCTTGTCCTGCGGCAGGGCCTCCGCCTCCACCTGGTCGATGTCCAGCTGTCGCGCGATGGTGTTGGCCGTCGCCGCATTGGTTCCGTCAGCATCACCACCCGCAGACCAAATTCCCTCAGCCGCTCCACTCCACGGACAGCGCCCGGCTTCAGCGTATCCGCGACAGAGAAGACACCCAGCACCTGTCCGGTCGGCCGCAAGGAACACCGTGCGTGCAGCATTCGGCCCGCAGAACGCGTCGCCGTATCGTTCAGCCCGTCCAGGAACACCCCAGACTCGTCCATCAGCGCCCGGTTCCCCAACAGCACCGAAGTGCCCTTGACCACTGCGCTGACCCCTCTGCTGGAATAGCCTGGAACTCATCGGCCGCCGCCGTCGCTATGCCATCCTCCTGCGCCCGGATTACGATTGCCTGGGCCAGCGGGTGTTCCGAGCCGTGCTCCGCAGTAGCCGCCAGGAACAGCAGCTCCCGCTCGCCATCCCCCGTACATGCCGGGTCGCCGATTGACACGATTGCCGTGACCGCCGGCTTGCCCGTGGTCAGTGTGACTGTCTTGTCCAACACCACGGTGTCCACCCGGTGGGCCTTCTCCAGCGCCTCGCCTGACCGGATATCAAACCCCCGCCCCGCTCCTTTACCCACACCCACGATGATGGCGGTGGGCGTGGCAAGGCCAAGTGCGCAGGGACACGCGATGATCAGGATGGCAACGAACACCAGGATCGCCAGCGTCAGCGTCGGCGCGGGCCCCAGCAGCAGCCACAGCAGGAACGCCAGCGACGGACAAAGCCACACCCGACGGCACGAACCACGCCGATATCCGGTCGGCCAGCCGTTGTGTATGGCGCCCGCCGAACCCCTGCGCTCCTCAACATCCGGATGATCTGGGCCAGTGCAGTCTCTTGCCCTACCCGCGTGGCCCGGTAGTACAGCGCCCCGTACCTGTTCAGCGTTGCTCCGTACAGCAAATCTCCCGGCGCCTTTTCCACCGGCATGCTCTCGCCGGTCAGCATCGACTCGTCGACTGCCGAGTGCCCGCTGCTGACCTCGCCGTCCACCGGAATGTGCTCCCCTGGCCGCACCAGCAGCAGGTCCCCAACCGACACCTGCTCCACCGGCACCACGGCCTCGCCGTCCTCGCGCATCACCGTCGCCGTCGCCGGACGTAGCTCGATGAGGCGACGGATGGCTTCCGAGGTCTGTCCTCGCGCCCGCGCCTCGAGGTACCGGCCCAGGAGATCAGGCGATATGACGCCGCGCTGTCGAAATAGACTCCCGCTCCGATCTAAATCGCGCCTGTTAGCACCAAGGGCCGCTCAGCCGCGTCCAGTCCACCGCACGCAACACCACCCTCACACCGCACGACGCTGTACCCATACTCCGTGCCTCGTGCCCAGCGCGCCAGGGTTGCAATTGCCCGCCCGCCGCAGCGCCCCGAACCCCGAGCGGTAGAAGCTCGCTCCCGCCCAGAACTGCATCGGCGTCGCCCACGCCCAACAGCGGAAAAAGCCGGTAGAACCCCAGCTGCATCCAGCCCGACACCCCGGAAAACCCGTTCAAACGACCCAAGGAACAGCAGCACTGCGCCAGTCACCGCAACGACAAGGCGGCGGCTGATGGCGCGCATCTCCTCGGTCTTTGCCAGCCGGTCCAGCTCCTGCTGCCGGTTTCCGGCCGCCTCGACACGGTACCCCGCCTCCTCCACGGCCCGCCGTAGGTCATCCAGCGTAGCCGCGGCAGGGCTGAACTCCACCGCGGCTCTTTCGACTCCCAAGTTCACACTGGCCCTGGTAACCCCCGGAACTCCGGCCGCGCCCCGCTCCAGTGGTACACGAGGCGGCGCAGGTCATCCCGCCGATGTTCAGCGTGGTTGAGACCGATTCAGGATCTTACGTTCTGTTGCCAGGCCTTGCCCGGGAGAGGCTCAGGCCTGTGACTAGACGCCTCACGAGAGTACAGGTCGCCCTTCGACGCCTCATCCGCCAATTCCTTCAGCGGGGCATTACATTCAGAGGTCGTACCACTCCTTGGCCTTTTCGACGCTCTCGAACTGCAGCACCACGATGCGCTTGGGCTCGTAGTCCCCTTCGATTTTCTCGGGAACTCCGCCGCGCACGACGTACGTCCCTCCAAAAGCTGCGACCGTCTCCGGCACTCGCTTGCCGTACTCAGCAAACGTCTCCGGATCGGTGATGGTGATGTTCCCAATCATATAGCCAGCCATGTTTGTGAGTCCTCCCTGTGGGTATTCTCGATTGACAGCGTAGCATTGCCACGGGCCGTAATCAAACGGACCTCCCGCCCAAAATTTCAGCACGCTCCGACCCTTCATCTCCACAAGAAAACGGGGGGGAGCGGGGGTGCCGCTCCCGTCATTCCGATGGCGACTTGAGGCCCTCACACGTACCGGGGCTGCACATCCCGGTGCAGCCCGAAGGCGTGCTTCCCGATCAGTTCCAGCGCGTCGAAGCCGATGCCGCTAGGCCTGAGGGATGCATCGTGCAAGCTCGCAACGTCGCCGGTTAGTAACCTCCAGCGGCAGCCTCCGCGCCAGCGCCGCTCCCCCCACCATGTCCACCGCCTTGTTCACCACGTCCTGCGCCGACTTCATGCAGAAGTACTGCATGGCCACGGCCTCAACGACGGTGGCATCGTCCCGATTGTTAATGTCTACCAACCGCTGGGCTATCTCCGCCTGCCAGTACCATCCCGCGTGAAGGGCGATGTCCATCTCCGCCGCCAGGAACTGGTGGCCAGGGTAGTAGCTCTCCGGGTGCTTGAACGGCAGGCGCGTGCGGTCTCGCGTCTGGTTGATGGCGAAGTCGCGGGCCGCCTTGGCTATGCCGAGGTACACCGACCCGAACGTCCCGCCGTGCCACGCCCACAACCCGCGCGAGAACTTGTCCCATCCCGAAGGTTATGGATTGATGAAAGGCAGTGGTTCTTCCTCGACGAACACGTTTTCCAGCCGCCAGCTGTGGCTCTGGCTAGCTCGCATCCCCATCGTGTCCCAGTCGTTGAGGCATACCAGCCCCTCGGTGTCCGACGGCAACACGAAAATCAGGCCGATCTCCCCATCGTCGGGGTCGTCGTACACGGCGGTGCAGCCGAACAGGTCCCCGATGGGACTGTTGGTGCCGAACCCCTTGCGCCCGTTGATGCGAAACCCGTCCCCTTCCTTCACCGCCGTGGCCGTGGTGTAGCCGAGACCGGTCATGCCCTTGTAGCTGTCCACCTGCGGATCGGTGATCGCTCCAAAGACGATGAGCTTCTAAGTCGCGATCTTGTCAGCATCTCCTTGGCCACGTTCATCCCCAGCGCGACCAAGGTCGAACGGGGATCATCACGAGGGCAAGACCCGAGTGAATATTGACGGCGAGGAGCGGTCGCGCCGCAGCCCTGCGCCAGCCGGTTCTGCGCGATGCAGATGTCCAGCAGATCAGCCCCGCCACCGTTGCAGTCCGACGGAATGGGCATGGAAGAGTACCCCGATTCCTTCATCTCCGCGTAGTTTTCAAACGGGAACTTGCCTTCCAGATCGTATTCCGCGAGCCCGTTCGGCGAAGGTGTCGGCGTGCTTCCCTGCCAGGTCGTACCACTTGCGTTGCGAAGGGGTGAGTTCAGCGTCATAACATCCTCCCCGGGGCGCGCTGCGTGCGTAAGTCGACGATAATTGCTCGGTGGCCGCATTCTAGCGCAAGGCAATGGGAGCGTCCAATAGCGAAGGTGGGAAGAAGCGGGGAACAGGGCGGAACGCGGCTGTCTATCGGTCGAGCCAGCGGTCCACCCCGCCCGTCAGCCTCACAACCCGCGACCCGACCGTACGATCGATGCAGCCCGCGTCCACCAGCCCGTCCACGATGGCCCTGCCGAGCGGGCCACCCAGATGCCAGCGACGCTCGGTCCAGTCGGTGCATCCGAAAGCGACCGGTTTGCCAGCCTTGCCGGAGGCAATGAGCACGCCCCGCTCGGCGAGGGCAATGGCGCCGAGTTCAGTGGGCAAGAAGCGGACCCGTCGGGCATCAGCGGATGATGAATCTTCCTCCAGCCAACAGCGGGAGAGCAGCTCATCCATCAGGGAGACGGCACGGCAACTACGGCGAGGGAATGCCAGTATAACGTCCGAGGCCCGCCTCGCGCCAGCGCCGTATCCCGCCGCACTTCGCGGGCCGCCTGCGCACTCGGCGGACTTACCGAGGGTTGCCGCCGGTCACTCTCGTGAATCACGTCGTCGTCCGTCTACCCACCGCCAATCGCCGGCAGGAAATGCACCTCGCTGTTCTCCTGCACTCGCTCCAGCAAGCCCAGCAGGCTCGTTTCGCCATCAACCACCACTGCCAGCCCGGGCAGCAGGTCGTCTTCCTCCACGTCCATCAGCAGGTCTCGAGAGCCGGGATACTCCTTTTCCAGGCGGTTGATCACCTGCCGCACCGTGGCCCCCGGCACCATCACCTGCCGATTGCCGCCACAGTGAGCCTGCATCCGCGGCGGGAGCCATACTTCCGGCATTGCCTCACCTTCTTCCACTTCCCGCTGGAAAGCGCAAGTCCTGTTCAGATTTGGAAAAAGAAGTCGGGAATCCGGAGGTCCCGGATTCCCGACTCATCGACGCACCCCGGTTTAGCCGCCGTTCTTGGACCAGACCTTCCAGTACCTTGCCCGGCGATATTGGCAGCGAGTCCATTCGCACGCCGATGGCGTCATAGACCGCGTTGGAGACGGCGGCCAGAGGCGGCACGAGAGGTACCTCGCCGACGCCGCGCAGCCCGTACGGGTGGGCTGGGTTGGCAATCTCGACGATAACCGTGTCAATCATGGGCAGGTCGAGGCTGATGGGCATCCGGTAGTCTAGGAAGCTGCTGTTGAGCATCCCGCCCTGGTCGTCGAAGCGGTACTCCTCGTTCAGAGCCCAGCCGATGCCCTGCACGACACCACCCTGTATCTGGCCCTCCACGTAGCTGGGATGTATGGCCTTGCCAGCGTCCTGGACAGCAGTATACCGCAGAACATCGACTTTGCCGGTCTCGGTATCCACTTCCACGTCCACCAGGTGGACGGCGATTGAGGGGCCAGCGCCGGGCGGGTTGACGCCGGCCCGGCCAACGATGGGCCCGCCAGTGCCGACCGCGCGGGCGGCAATCTGCTTGAATGTAAGTCGCAGTTCCTGGTCGGACTTGTGCTGCAGCACCCCGTCCTCGTATTCCACGTCGTCGACGGGTATGTCCCAGATACGGGCGGCCCGCTCACGCATCTGCCGTTTCACGTCCTGGCCTGCCTCGTAGGCTGCCCAGCCGGACTTGAAAGTGGCGCTGCTGCCGCCGGTGTTGGACGTGAAGCCGATGCTGTCGGTATCGCCAACCTGGGGCTTGATGTCCTCCATCGGGATTCCCAGCACCTCGGCGATGTGCTGCGAGACCGCGGCGCGGCTGCCCCCGATGTCAGGCGAGCCCTCGGTCAGGCTGACCGAACCGTCCGAGTTGACCACCGCCAGCGCGCTGGCTGGGCCGGTGTTGTTGCCCCAGAATCCGCTGGCGACGCCCCGGCCGCGCTTGATGTGACCGTTGCTCTTGCCCTCCAGTGGCGTGTTGTAGTGCGGGTGATCCTTAAGGGCCTGCAGGGTCTCGATGTACCCCACCTTGGGGGTCATCGGCCCGGTAACGCGGCGGACACCCTCCTTGGAGCTATTGAGCAGGCGTAGCTCCAGCGGGTCCATGCCCAGCTTCTCCGCCAACTCGTCGAGGGCGGTCTCCATGCAGAAGGCTGAGGCAGGCGCGCCAGGAGCGCGGTAAGCTGCGGACTTGGGCCGGTTGATGACCACGTCATATGCCACCAGGTGGGCGTTGGGGACATCGTACTGGCCCATCATGCACTGGGCGCCGGGGGAAACGGGCGAGCCGGGGAAAGCGCCTGCCTCGTAAATCAAAGTGGACTCGGCGGCGACCAGCTTGCCTTCCTTGGTTGCACCCAGCTTTACGCTTATCTTGGTACCGGAGGTTGGGCCAGTGGCCTCGAAAACCTCCTTGCGGGACATCTGCACCTTCACCGGGTGCCCGCTCTTGCGGGAGAGCAGGGCCGCCACCGGCTCGGCGTACAGGACGGTTTTGGCACCGAAACCGCCGCCGATTTCCAGCGGGATGGCCTTTACGTCGGCTATGGGAATGCCCATGAAGCGGGCCGTGTGGTCGCGGACGGTGAACTGTCCCTGGCTGCTGGACCAGATGGTCAGCTTGCCGTCGACGCCCCACTGGGCGGTTCCCGCGTGGGGCTCGATGTACCCCTGGTGCACCGGAACGGTCTCGGTCTCCTTTTCGACGATCACGTCCGCCTGTTTGAATCCTTCTTCAACGTCGCCAAGCCCGAACTCGAAGTGGTTGGCGATGTTGCTGCCCTTGGTGTCGTCGTCGTCGTTCAGCAACCCGCCGGGCCGCATGGCCGCGTTGGAGAGGCTGGCCAGCTTCTCGTGGACCACCAGAGCGTCGGCCTTCATTGCGTCGTCGGCACTGAGGACCGGTGTGAGCACCTCATAGTCGACCTTGATGAGCGCCAGCGCCTGCTCCGCGACGTGCGCATTGGCTGCGGCAACGGCCGCAATGGCGTGGCCCTTTGTAGAGCGCCTTGCCGCGAGCCAGGACGTTCATGCTGAGGAAGCCAAGGTTCTGGATAGCACCTTCAGCCAAGTCTGCGAGGCGTCCAGAAGTCTCCGGCCAGTCAGCTGAGGTCACAACGGCATGAACGCCGGGGTAGGCCTCGGCCGCGCTGGTGTCGATGGACTTGATGACGGCGTGGGAGTAGGGGCTGCGCAGTATCTTTCCATGCAGCAGACCGGCCAGGTTCTGGTCCGCACCATACCGCGCCCGGCCGGTTACTTTTTCGGCTCCGTCGGGCCGTATGGGACGGGTGCCGACCACATTAAATTCTTCATTGGAAAGGACGATATTCGGCTTGTAATCCAGCATTTGCGTCTCCTGGAATTAACTGGTGTAGAGCGCCCGTGACTACGTTCGATATAGTATCACAATGGCATAGGCTCCAACGAAACTTGTTCCGGCATAAGAGCCTGTTTACAATCTCTTCAGGATTAGCACCGTGAAGGCGAGGACCACCATTTGCAGACTGGTATTGAGCTTTCCCTCGCAGTTCTTCCATAGTCGGCGACACTTCTCCAGCCAGGCGAAGGACCGCTCCACCACCCAGCGTTTCGGCAGCACCACGAAAGTGTGCAGTTCATTGCGTTTCACCACTTCTACCGAGGCTCCCAGCAGGTTCTGCACCGTCGCGGCGAAGGGCTTCCCGGTGTAGCCCCCGTCGGCCATCACATTCTGCACCCGGCTCAGGTCGGCCCGGCTTTGTTCAAACATCGCCAAAGCCCCGGCCCGGTCGGTAACGTCGGCGGTGGTCACATGAATCGCATGAGGCAACCCCTGGCTGTCCACCGCGACGTGGCGCTTGATCCCGGACACCTTCTTGCCCGCGTCATAGCCCTTGTTACCGGCGCTGTCGGTGTTCTTGACGCTCTGGGAGTCCACGATGCAGAAGCTGGTCTGCTCGCTCCGTCCATTGCTTTGTCGGGCCGCGCCAACCGATTTTTTTTAAGACCTGCTCCAGAATGGACTCTTCCTGCGGGCCGGGCCGCTCACTCCATTGCCGGAAATACTTGTAGCAGGTGCGCCAGTCCGGGAAGTCCGCCGGGAGCATCCGCCACTGGCAACCGCTCTTCAGCAAGTAGAGCACGCCGCAGAAAACGTCGTACAGGTCCACGGTGCGGGGCTTGGTCCGTCGGCGGGCCGATTCCAGCATGGGAAGAATCCGGGCGAATCGCTCCCGGCTGATGTCGCTGGGATAGGAATGAGACATGATTACCCTGCCTTGGTAATAGTCTCAACTTAACATATCCCAGAGATCGTAGACAGGCTCTTAGACCCGCCCCTCAAATTCTCCCCCGATCCAGGGGCTGGAGTGGGGATGAAATTGCTCGTATCGGCATCCTTGCCCACCACGGAAGTACACCCCGCACCCTGGCATCCCTCCGGAGGGAAGCGGAACCCCTGAATCACCCCGAGGCAGAACCGTCCTGATGATGTTTGAGACTATGTGAATTTTATCCTTCCACACCATATGGACGGGACGAGTTTAGACTCCCCTCCAAGCAGCCCTACAACATTTCTATTCAACTCCCGTAACGACCAGGGCAATCGCGTCTTCAAGCCTGGAATCTCATTGTGCTGGTAATCCCGGCTGACCTACACCGCCAGTTGATCAATCATCAGACAGGCTCCTAGTATTACAACGACGGTATGAGGAGAAAGGCGGATTGTCCTCTCTTGGAGGGTCAAGTAACTGCTCCCTTCAGCTTTGGCAAAATTCATTTCAGTGTTCAAAACCGCCCCAAGGATTGACCTTCCTGGCAATGCGTCGTTGTAATACTAGGGTAACCATCCAATTTTCCTGCTCACTTTCTGGACAAACTCACGGCAACACTCTGTATCTATCAGAATGACACAGCAAATCGTGCCGTTCGTAGCAGTTCCACGCGCCGAACCTGGCTTACTGGACAGGTGCATCCCGTATGGTGTTGTTCACCGTGTCATCCCGGCAAAATCGCTTTTCAGACAGCCTGATACTGGCTGCCAGTAACTAAATACTATCACGACCTTAAAGTGGCTCCGGGATCTGGCCCTGCCAGTCCTGCGGTCTCGCCCAACAGACTCAAGCGGGCATACGCACCCGATGGATCGGACAAGGCGAGTTTGCCCCAAAGTGCTTCTGGCGCCTCTGCCACGCAGTGCAAGCGAAGACGGTGGCGATGGCCTGTTTCAGTCGTCCAGCATTCGCAGCGGCAGCCCTCCATGGGCAGCAGAGGTGGCCAACTCCCCCCATGTAGGCTTCTGACGGTCTAGAAGGGGATGCCACGCAGGTCGCCCTGAAAAGTGGGGGGAGATGCCGGATCATTTTTCAAGTACGGTAGGGAGGGCTTCACTGGCGCAACCAAGCCACCCTTCATCCCTTCTCGAACGCACGTCCCGCTTTGGCTTTGGAGCTTGTATCTGAAGTATCTGGCGGGACGGATGTCGATTTCAAGACAGCATTCAATTGCGTATCATCACTGGTTGACAACGGAATTCTGTCGTCACGGCATCCATGGTCTGAATGTCGTTGTGATCTTAGACTTCTGAGACAAGCTGCAGGGCAGGGTCTAATGGGATCAGCATAGTTGAACCGAACCATAACGAGCCGCCGCAGTTGGGGCACCGGACCTTGGCAAGAATCCCAGAGGTCAAGCATCACCGCCTTCGAAACCGCGCGGCGCGAGGGCGTGACTTGACGGCCCCCGCCAGACGGCCTGGCTATCGGCGACTAGATTAGTATTTGCGGGAAGGTGGCAGAGGCAACCCGATGAGCAGATGTCGAGATGCTGAGGCAAGGAGGGTCAGAGCCGACTTGACCGCCTGAGTGTCGGGGCCGATTACCTTGACGCCCACGCCGCAATCACCGGGCAGGCAGGTTGCACCGATGCTGAGGTCCGGGCTCATTGCCTCGACGCCATCTGCGGCGGGGTTGATGATCCTTCGCAGCTCAGCCGCCAAATCCGGGGCCGGGATGACGGCGGTGATGATCAGCAATGAACCCAGGGTGGGAGCGTAATGCCTTCCGAGAACGGCGGCCGTCTGCAAAGGGTTGGTCCTGGGTTCCAGCCGGTAAGCCTCATGATAAATGGGGTCGCCGTATATGGGGCCGACATCGGGCGGTCCGCAACTGTTTCCGGAAACGGGTCTGGAAATGGTCAGACGGGTGACCAGCCAATCGAAGTCCAATACCTCGCCGCGGGCAACCCGTCCGGGAGTGGTGATCTCTGAGTAAAGGAGCGAGCCGGTTTCTGACACCGTGATACGAGTCTCCTGCGTGAACCTAGAACCCCGGAAAGGAATCAGTGGCTCCGGCAGGTATTCAAGATAGCTATTGTCCGCCACCCCAAGGTTGGTTTGCTGGTACGCGTCGGAATCCGGCATGGCGTGGATCTTGTTGGCTGACTGATTGGAGACGTGGGCCTTGGTCCCCGGCTGGACTTCAACCTTGATGTGTTGGTGGTCTCCCTGAAAGATTCCTGCCGTTGGGTTAGCCACGAAAACGAAGGCCATATCAGGCAGAGAATTGTCCAGGTACAGGGCCCTCTGTATCGCCAGCGGCGGGCGGATCCGGCTCTTGACCAGCCGCGTCCGCCCTTGTCTGACCGCGAAGGTCAGGTCGGCCAATCCACTGAGGGAATTGAGGGACTGGTCCTGGAGGGAGTCTGGGGACATGGCCCTGACTAAAGCGCGTTCAAGACTGGATTGGGTTAACTTTGTCGCCAAGCCCGGCGCCCTGCAGCAGGTGCTCCAGCACCTGGTCCAGGCCATCTCCGGTGCGGCAGTTGGTGAACTCGAAGGGCTTGTCGCCTCGCACGAGGCTGGCGTCCCGGCTCATCACCTCGAGACTGGCGCCGACATGGGGAGCCAGATCGGTCTTGTTAATCACCAGCAGGTTGGTCTGGGTGATGCCCTGCCCACGTTTGCGTGGAATCTTGTCACCGGCGGCTACGTCTATAACGTATAGCTGGTAATCGGCCAGCGAAGGGCTGAACGTGAGGGTAAGGTTGTCTCCGCCGCTCTCGATCAGGATCAGGTCTGCGTCGGGGAACTCCTGCGTGAGATCCTCAACCGCGAGAAGGTTAAGGGACGGATCTTCCCGCACCGCCGTGTGGGGGCAGGCCCCGGTTTCCACCCCCCGGATGCGTTGGGGAGCAAGAATGCCCGCCAGGGTGCGGCGGGCGTGTTCGGCGTCTTCCCTGGTGAAAATATCGTTGGTAATTACCAACGGACGGTATCCCTGATCAATCAACCGCGGCACCAGTTGTTCTATGAGGGCGGTCTTGCCTGACCCGACCGGGCCGCCCACTCCTACCCGGGGAATTTTCTTGCTCATTGGCTTTCCTCCGCTGGTTTCCGACAGTTCATTTCGTTCCGAGGATTCAGCTGGCGAACATCCGCAAATCGTCGGTCTCGTGGTCAATTGAACAAATATCCAAGGCTGGGGTAAAGGACGTCATATTCTCCCACGATACACCCCGCACTTGGTCGATCATCTCCGGCAATTTCCCGTGCAGCCTTCCCAGGATGTTCTGAGCGTCGGTGTGGGACAGGGGAAGCAGACGCATGGCGGCCCCCAGCACTGATACAGCATGACTGTGGCAGAGGACCAGCAGCGCGTTTTCCGCCGGAATCCCCTGGCCTGCGCGACCACGCCCAATGCCACCGCTCCGTTGCCGGGGGTCTGGTTGTGCAGCGATTTCTTCGCGTAGGCTGCGTGTATCTGGTGGTGTCCCAGGGTGGAGGCGGTCTCTGCCATGAGGCGCCGGCCCAACTGCCCGGAGGCAGTTCTCAACTCCGACGGCAGCTTCAGGGCCCAGAGCAGCCGGTCGATGCCCACAATCAAGTCCAGATCCCGGGAGGCGGCAGCAGCGTGAGCATTCAACAGGGCCACGCCGTCCCCGGGAACTACCGACCAGGCGAATTGGTCATCCAGAAACGAGGCCACGTCGCCAACGGTCGCAACCAACCCCCGGCTCACCATAGGCTCCAACCCGTGGGAATGGGCGTACATTCCAGTGGGGAAGAAGGAGTCGGCCAACTGGAGGGCGCTCAGGAAAGCCTTGCCGTCAAGCATCACGCACTCGGCAGCCGTGCCTGTTTATGTTTTCCTCTCGCCATGGATAAGGGGCCGGGGGATGGGGAATCCCAGGAGTTGCACTGGCCATCACACCAGGAAATACAGCTGGGCCAAGCTCAACCTCTCCGCAGGCGGGACCATCGCCAGCTCGCCGTCCACCCGCACCTGATAGGTTTCCGGGTCAACCTCGATCTGGGGCGTCCGGTCGTTGCGGACCATCTGCCGCTTGGTAATCGTCCGGCAGTTTCTGACAGGTTCGATGATGCGGGTCAGGCCCAGGGACTCGTGCACTCCCCGTTCGTGGGCTTCCCTGGAAATAAACGTAGCGCAGGTGCTCGCCACGGAGCGGGCATGGGCACCGAACATGGGCCGGTAGAAGGTTGGTCTCGACAGTGGGGATGGAGCCGTTTGGGTCTCCCATCAACGCCCAGTTGACCATTCCGCCCTTGATGACCATTTTCGGCTTGGCCCCGAAGCTGGCAATCGGCCACAAAACGATGTCGGCCAGCTTGCCAGGAGAAATGGACCCTACGACGTGAGAGATGCCGTGGGCGACAGCCGGGTTGATGGTCAACTTGGCCAGATACGCAACACCCGGAAGTTGTCGTGTTCCGCCTCATCCTCCGGCAGCTTGCCCTTCATCTTGAGCATCTTGTCCGCGGTCTGGAACAGGCGGGTGAAGTTCTCACCGACGCGGCCCATCGCCTGGGAATCGGAGGAGTAAATGCTCAACACTCCAAGGTCGTGCAGTACATCCTCGGCAGCCATGGTCTCGGGTCGGATGCGGCTTTCAGCGAATGCCACATCCTCGGGAATGTTGGGGCTGAGGTGATGGCAGACCATCAACATATCCATGTGTTCCGCCAGGGTGTTCACGGTGTAGGGACGGGTGGGATTGGTGGATGAGGGAAGGACGTTCAGTTCGCCGGCCATGCGAATGATGTCCGGAGCATGGCCACCGCCGGCGCCTTCGGTGTGATAAGTGTGGATCGTCCGCCCGGCAATGGCGGCTATGGTATCTTCGACGAAACCCGCTTCGTTGAGAGTGTCAGTGTGAATTGCCACAGGCACATCGTAGGCGTCGGCCACACCAAGGCAGCAGTCAATGGCCGCGGGCGTAGTTCCCCAGTCCTCGTGCAGCTTCAGACCGCTGGCTCCGGCGGCGATCTGTTCCACCAACGGCTCCGGCTCGCTGGCGTTGCCCTTGCCCAACAGTCCCCAGTTAACCGGCAGACCCTCGGCGGCTTCCAGCATCCGGTGGAAGTTCCACGGGCCGGGGTGCAGGTGGTGGCGTTGGTGCCGTCGGCGGGGCCGGTACCGCCGCCCAACATGGTGGTGATGCCATTGGAGAGCGCGTGCTGAACCTGCTGGGGCGAAATCATGTGGATATGGGCGTCAATCCGGCCTGGTGTGTGCGATGAGATGCTCCCCGGCGATGATTTCGGTGCCCGGTCCGACGATCAGGTGCGGGTCAACGCCGTCCATCACCCCGGGGTTCCCCGCCTTGCCAACCCCGGTGATACGCCCGGCCTTCACACCGATGTCTGCCTTGATGATGCCCAGCAGAGGGTCCATGACGATGGCATTGGTATATCACGAGGTCCAGCGCACCGTTGTGGTTGGTGATCCCGGAAGCCTGGCCCATGCCGTCGCGGGCGGTCTTCCCCCCGCCGAATACCAGTTCGTCGCCTGCAGATTGCAGGTCCTGTTCCACCTGACAGATCAGGTCGGTGTCCGCCAACCGGAACCGGTCGCCGACGGTGGGGCCGTAGAGGTCGACATACTGACGGCGGCTAATCTCGGTCATAGGAAACCTCCCCGCGGCTGTGTGGGCAGGTTGCGAAAGCCCTGTTGAGGCCAGCTTTAACGCCGCCTGTGTACGGGTGTTCGGTCCATCCACGCTGCCGTTAGTCAACCCGTTCAGCCCGGTAACGCGCCGGGAGCCGCCGATGGGGACCAACGCAACGTCCTTTCGGTCGCCCGGCTCAAACCGGACGGCGGTCCCTGCTGGAATGTTGAGCCGCATGCCAAAGGCCACAGAACGGTCAAATTCCAGCGCCTTGTTGACTTCAAAGAAGTGAAAATGGGAGCCGACCTGAATGGCCCGATCCGCTGTGTTGGCGACGCTGATCTGAATGGTAGGCCTGCCCCGGTTGATCTCGACGGGTTGGGGCGATAGCAAATACTCCCCCGGTTCCCCAAACATCAAAACCCCTCCCAAACTTGGAGATCTCCTGAGGCCTGCGGCCTTAGCCTTACAACGAGGGCAGGTATCGCTTGATTTCGTAGTCCGTGATGATGGAGCGAGTACTCTTCCCATTCGATTTCCTTGTTGCGGATCAAGCTGGTGAACAAGTGGTCTCCCAGCACCTCCTGCAACAGCTCGCTCCGCTCGGCCAAGGCAATGGCTTCCCCCAGACTGGAGGGCAGGGACTGGATATTCAACGACCTCCGGCGCTGGGCCGACATCTCGAACACGTTGCCCACCACCGGAGGCGGCGGAGCGTATTCTTCCTGGATTCCCTTCATCCCCGCCGCCAGCATGACGCTCAGGGCAAGGTACGGATTGCAGGCGGGTCGGGGCGCACGGTATTCGACACGCACCGAAGAATCGAATCCGGGCTTGTAGGACGGCACCCGGATCAAGTCCGAGCGGTTGACGTGGGACCAGGATACAAATACCGGAGCTTCGTATCCCGGTACCAGCCGCTTGTAGGAGTTGACCCACTGGTTGGTGACCAGCGTAATCTCGGGCGCATGCTGGACCAGACCAGCAATGAACCGGCGTCCCGTGATCGACAGGTAATGCTCGTCGTCCGGGTCAAAGAAGGCGTTCTGGTCGCCCCGGAACAACGATTGGTGAATGTGCATTCCCGACCCATTGGACAGACGACAACGGCTTGGGCATGAAGGATGCGTATACGCCCCGGAGTGGGCCAGTTCTTTAATCAGCAGCCGTGCGGTCATCACATTGTCGGCCATGTCCAGAGCGCCGGTGTACTCGAGGTCAATCTCGTGCTGGCTTTCCGCTGCTTCGTGGTGGGAATACTTGACCGAGATGCCCATCTCTTCCAGGTTCAGCACCGTGTCCCGCCGCAGGTCGCTGGCGGGGTGGCTGGAAAGCTGGTCGAAGTATCCGTCGCTGTCCAAAATGTCCGGGGTCTTGGAGCTCTGCATGTAGAAGAACTCCAGCTCCACGCCGGCGTTGTAGGTGAAT